CATATGCCCAACGAAATGAACTAGTGATCGTTTGATCTAGAGAAGGAGCGGCTCCCTCTCGGGCGCATTTCATATTTTAGTGTTCCAAAGCTTGCGAGTCTTGTCACAATCCTTTGAAGGGGTTTCATTCGAATAATAGATCGTTGTTGATCGTTTTAGACGGTTGAAATCAAGTAAACTCGTGACGGTAAATTGTACGGCACTATTGCTGATCTACGCGTCTAATACTACACACAGCTTGAATATAACATTTGCAAGTATGCCTTGTTAATTGCAACAGGAAAAATCATACTGATCTGCCTCCTCAAATGTTTCTTTTGTTTACTTGCGGTCAGATGAATGTTCCTATATTGAAAGAGTTTTTTTTTGACAAATTATACACATCTTTATACTCATTTATAGCAACTAGACCTTGCAGCGGTTTTCGAGTCATTTTCAGAGTTTCAAAAATTTGCCAGGATATTTTCTCAGACAAGACTGCTCAATGCCCTTTCATTCGTCATCAGGCAAGACCACTGATGTATGATTTGCACCACGCATTTCTGCTGATATTTTGTTTAGGTTTGTATAACGTTGCAACGCACGATGTGTAACAGGCTGTGCACAAAAACCAAAAATGGCTGTTTTCAAGTTGTAAATTGCTTTGAAACCCTTATTGTAGTTTTCAAAATTTGCTGATGTTAATCTAATGGACCGGTTTACTTCTGGATCACAACTATCATCTTTAGTTTACAGTGGTTTAAAGGTGGGCTATTGGTGTACCTCTTCTGTTTTCGTATCATCCGACAATACTAAATTCCTCTAATTGTGGGAACCTAGACACGACAAACGTCAACCGCGTTGTTCATTCCATGGTCAATAAGCTATGCCTAATAGCAAATGCATTGAGATTCTGAGGATGCATGGGACATCACGAATCAAGAACATTTCGGTAGGTTTAAAGTGACGATCACAAGAAGCAAATCCAAATATCAATCCATAATATCTTTAGGCTCTTTGACAAGCGTTTCTGCTACCTAGGTTCCCCCTGTAATGGTTAGTCGTGTTGCCACAGCAAGCAACGGTTGCATACTCAGTATCCATTGGGAACCTTGTAGGACTCTGTGACACACATTCGCTAACAATTGAAAGTTTTGCATGGTACAGCACTGGTTCAACTCCAAAAGTAATGCTAAGAATAGCCTTCTGAAGATAACCTATTGCACTTAGGTTTAAATGAAACCTCAAAACTGTTTTTTCACATGAAATTACTAGAGAATAGTATCGACTGCGACTGCAACAGTCGCCGAAACTTCTATTGTGAAAGGACACGGAAACGAGATGAGGAGATAACTATCGACTTGAAATGGCTGAACTGCTCAATGACCTATTTCACACAGGATCCCGCTGAGGCACTGTTCAAACGAGGCGAACACCAAAGTGGACAACGAACTTCGAAGCAAAAAATATTAGAGAAAGTGGCAGATGATCTTCAGCTTACTTTGAAGAAACGGCATCTGCAGCGGCTGCAGGACGAAAACTCCGAGAAACAAGACAGAGAGAGCCATGAGAAGAATAAATGCTTCTTCGCACTGCTCTGAGGCGAATCCGCTCAACGAGCCGAGGAGGAAAATGTACGCTGAGTAAAGAAAGCGCAGCGCCAGGCGCAGCTTTTCGTACATAAGCACGCTGGACCACAGCAGGGCGATCAGTGTGATATCCACGAAGAAGATGATCAGGCAGAAG